AAGAACACGATTGTACCTGCATTTAATGATAGAAATGCAACATGTACTGTTTTAGTTGAACTTGATATCATTGGAATTTATATAAATATTTTACTAAAGCTGATCCTAAATGAAAAGTTTCAATCATAATTGTCAGCTAGAACGTAAAAATGCACGCTACATTTAAAACAATAAAAAATTAAGATTCATCCACGACGATTGATTACAGTCAATAACAAACACACATTTACAAATTTTAAATACAATAATTATTAAATATTGCTTCTTTCATATCTCCATTTTGCTGTATTTTATGAGCAATACAATTCTTCCAAGTGTATATCCTTTCCGAATTTCTAAGTACAATACTTATTCTCTGGATTCTTTTACATAATTAGAAAGAACAAAGAACAAAAGTAGCTTGAAAGAAATATTTGAATAAAAAAAGAAAAAAACTAACTAATAAAATTCTGGCAATAAAATTACCTTGTTGCACTGTTTCTCAAGAATACTTTTCAATATATACTTTATCAATATCTTTTCTTTTCTTTTTTCCTTTGTTTTTTTAAGATACGCTAATGAGCATAAGCATTGCTATCTGCTCGTGAAATGAACAAATACACTGATTGCACTATACCAATGAAAGTAATAAAAACGAAACGAACGACGAAGTAAATCCGGAATGGCGGAAAATTAGTATTTATCGTCGATAACGATAAAAAGGACTGCTTCTTTATCGACCAGCTGTTCCCTTTATCTTAAAAGTAAACACGTCTCGGGTATTTACTTTAATTCTTAAATCGCCTCAAAACACACGATCTAGCAGGATCGAGAATGGATCGTTAAGGGTTCGTGTAAGCTGGAAACAAAAACAAAAACGAGAGGAAAAAAATAACGAAAAAAAAAAAAAATCAAGAACAAAGCATTTTGACCTTGTGATCTGCGCAACTACTTACGTTGGAAGTAATAATCACGTCCTAGGAAGTCGCTATAAGGAACGAGCTATCCGGGCTATTTAAGTTTTACAACTGTACTCCCGATTATCTCGTTCGGTTTCACTTTCACTTTCAATAATCTGCAATTAGTAAATTGATTTAAAGAACACCAATTCACCCTCCACCGATCAGCAGCTGCTTAGATCCAATTAACGAAGTTACGAATATTTTTTTTTTTGTTCTTTTCCTCTAATTAATCAAAAACATTTCTTTTCCCTCGATTAATTTTTCACGTGTAAGTTTATGTGTGTGTATGCATGTGACTGTACGTGCAAGTTCTCTGCTCTACAGTTGGACCATTCGAATCAACCTCGTGTCGTTTCTTCGTTTCAAAAAGTATACTATGAATACGTAAATGCATACGCAAGAAGAATACTGATGAATTTGGCGTATTTCCTTTTACTCTTGTATGTGTATATGTGTTGTGTGCATGCGATGTTTTTCTGTTTCCTTTTCTGTAGAATTCTATAACCGGAGCAATACACGCTACTGCGATTCATTAACGAGACTCTAAGTAACTCCGTCGTATCAGGAAAAACGCGTTTGTTTCTGCCTGTTTTTTTTTTCTTTTTTTTTTTGTCTGTTTCGTTCGTAAAAGACAGTTTCTAACTTGTCAATTTCCCCGTCGACGGATTTCGTTCTATTCAATATACAATTCCTTAAATGGAATTACATTTGGTTTAAATTACAAAAAATACACAGAATGCGTAATACGTATAAAAACGTGTCGTTTATGCGTCACATAGTTATATTAATCTATAGTACTCGTCGATTGTAAGCAGACTTCGAAACGTGATACCCGAACTCTACGAATTAATGAAATGAATAAAAAGGTGAGTTCTGATTCTGCGAAGGTTAGATGTAAAATAATAAAAATCACGAATATCGATCGCTATAATTATGAAAATTGAAGTTTTCGTAAGAGATATTAAAAGTCGTGTCTAGACATCATTCTGCGTACAGGTTATTAAAAGAGTGTTTTTTTACAAATACTTCGAAGTCTGATTGCAACGATAGATCGATCCGGGTCAGATAATCGTATAGTGCGTTATTAATGACCACCAGATTACACCTAGTTAATCGCTAATATGTTGTTAATACATCACGAGCTATAGTGATATTACACGTAACTAAAAACATAATCGCTATTATCCCTATGTGTTCTCGATTTATAATATTCTATGTGCGTAACTCGTCGTTTTCTCTACAGCGAAAGCATGATCATGAAACGTAAAAGGTCCCATCTGCTCTTACAATGGAATACTTCAGTGTGTTCAAACGACAATTAGCTGCCTAATGTCTGGTATACATGGAATTCTATACCTCTGGTGAATTCTGTGCAGTCGCATTGATATGATCCTGTAAACAAATTCTGAGATCCCGCTCGTCCAGCTCACTCTCAGTGTCAACACTGAAACTTCTCACGTTTTGCCCACCATGACCCGTCCAACGCTGCTTCCAACTTTCTAGCCTCATGACCTATGACATACATGCAACATACAGTACTATTGGTCAAGTTCTATTGGTAAAGATTTCTGTGAGACTCTGTAGATTTTATACATCATCATTTTGGAAAGAATTGTGCTTGATGCTTTCCTGGCTAAAAATAACATTTGATTTGATATAGCTCAACTAGTATCTAGTTTAATGGGCAACTGTGCATAATAGTTTCTAACTTATATAGTTTAGCAATCTATCAATTACAAAGATTATTGTGTTGAAAATTATTTTTAGGAAAATTTGATAGAAGGATAGATCAGCACTGAATACTACTTTTAAAATGATTGCATGGTCAAATTGTGCAATTCCTATAATGCATTCAATGTTTGTAAAACTTATTTAAATACTCAGACTCCTGTTGTTTTACTTTTCAAAGGTTTTTCTTTTTTACTCTTTTCTTATAAAATAATGAAAATTGCCTAAAACCAGATGATGATGTGTTTCAAAGGATGCAACAAATTAATGTACCCTTAAGTTTAAATGCATAAAATGATCACCATGCATTTTTGTTTTGTATGTTTGTTTATTCATCTAAAAATATAGCCAAATATAAAATAATAAAAAACCATAAAAAAATCATAGAATAATTATCTCCATTGGAAAATTAAATGCAAGTATTTTTAATTGATGGTGCATCATCTACTTCTATAAAAATCTATAGCATAAGTTTTTAACTGTTAAATGATCCATATGTACATCTCTCCTATTATATACATGTATAATAATATACCAAATAGCATCTACTTTAGATTTCATATAAAGTATACTGAGTGGAACACTATGTTGAAAATTATAATGGGTAACATGCACTACTTAACACATTGATTAAAGCAATGTGTTAAATGAAAATACCAGTAAGATTTTTTCATAAATGTTCTGAAAACATTTTATGAATATATCCACCATTACTTTAGACAATAAAGAACTCTGTTTACATCTGTAATAAAATAAATGATTGAAGCAAAAATGAATCATGCAGGAAGTGCTTGTAAAATGCAATATTGCAAAGCACATACCAAACACAATGAAAAAATAAAATGAACTCTATTGTACATACAGCATAATCAGCATAAGAAAACAAGATAATGGGGGACTAAAATGTGTGGGTGTTAAATGAAATCAAGGAACACATTAGAATATCATTGCTGAAGGATAAAGACAATTGTTACTCTAATGCTTTCCTAGATCTCTGTCAAACAAATGTTGTGGTATCTTCCGAAATATATCTCTCCATAAATTGATATGAATTATCCTGTAACATGTAATTATTTCACAAAATATATACAAACTATAGAAAGGAAATACAGTCCCTTGACACAGTACACGTTGACTTCATGCTACGTATATGAAATGGAAAAAAATAATGCTTACGGATGGGTAAAGACTTACTCGAGCCAGCGCCACGGCTCAGTCTCCGGGCTGGTGATTGGCGTAGGGAACTAAGGAGACAGAGATAACACAGCAATAGAGGGTTAGTTTTACAAGACCATTAGTTTCTTTGTGTTAGTGTCTGGTACCTTTACACAATAAGAATTCCATTGATAATTAAAACAAAGTTCAAATAATACTGTATCATCACTTCCTTCTATATGAATGACTGCTTTTGCTCAAATAGCAATTTTGTTCAATAAAATGTATTACAATGCATTTTTGCTGAATGTCTAATGTATACAAATATTAAAGCAAATGAATGATATCTTTGAAGGTTTATTTTTTAAATCATAGTCTTTTCCATATCTTTTTCTGATTAAAACTACTTATAAACCATTGACCAATTATTACTCCGTGCTGTGCTAGCTCTCAATGTCTAATACAATGTCCTTAAAGCACAATTAGTATAATAAATAGCAAGCTTGATTTATTATAAAATGATTTTAGTGTGTGTCTACATAAAACGGTTTAAATGTTAATGGTAAAAAAACATTGAAAATTTGATACTCACGACTGTTTCTATACTGTAAAACATCCACAAGAATTATTGATAAATGTCAGAATACATTTTCTATTTTCAGAATCTTGTAAATGCATTATAAGTTTAATTCCTCTTTTACTGCAAATTTTCAATGTACACTAAATTAAAACATAAAGATAAATATTTTGTTCTCATAGACATTTTCTTATATTATTATGGTGCCCTCAAAGATATAAGATATTTCTGATTTAATACAATGATGATTATTACATCCTCACAAGTGCAAAGATAACACTAAATGAACAGATACTGTAACCATGATTAAGTTCAAAAGCAATTCGACATTTATTATTTATACTTTGCATTGCAGCAGAGACATAACAAGCTGTAAATGCACCCTATTCTGGAAGCTTAAATAATTCCTTGTATGACTCATAATAGAAATCACATGAATACACAAAATCAAGAGGACCAAAACAATTACAAATGCAATTTTGATGATGAGACACAATGAATTCTTAATGTGTATAGGTACCTCTGCAGGAATGTTATTTGTTTATGTGAAAAGTGAGGCGGCCGTGTCTTATTGTCCATTGTAATAATTAATTGATAATAACAAATACGAAAAATATGGACTATATTGTTAGTGTTCAATTTATTAGTATTGCAAATCTTATAAAACGTTCACCACAATATTAGTAAAAAAAAAAGATTAATT